CTAGTGCTATGAAGGCAATTTTAACTTACTTCTAATAACCATATTTATTTATTTAGGACAACTTACAAAACATACACTAATACATAATTTACAAACATGTTTTACAAATATGTGCTGAGTGTTGTCTTACTTACAAGTTGCCACGGTATGGTAAGGGACAGTCACATCTAAGATTACCATGCAATATCTATAATAGTATACTAAACATACAGAAAATCATGGCAATTAATTAAAGACAGTGATGATCTAAGAAGGTCCAAATGACGCAATAACTTTGCTTTTAAATTTTGTAAGTATCGAAATTAAACTTTTTTTAAAGACAACTTCCGCACTAGGAATATACGTGGCAACACAATGAATAAAAAATAGATTTATAGACGGTTCTTAGCTTTTAATTATTACTTAGTGTTGTACAGTAATGATGTATTTGTGCTTGGGATTATTAAATCCTGTGTCGCACGTTACAAAATTACATGAAACGGACACAAAGAACACCCAGATTCAGAACAACAATTTGTGACTCACACAAAGTGTTGTCCCATGTGGGGATCGGACCCACACTCAGCATAGTAGGAAGTGGAGGGGTCACTTTGTACATATAGTAGTACAATAATTGGTCTTTTCAAAGCTAAGAGTTAGTGGAACTCTTAAAACCCAAAAGCTCTTGAGTTTTGGTTCATTTTATTCCTTTTCACGACCCCAACAATTTGGGCTTCGTGAAAATTGACTGATGATGGAGCCGGGAGGTGAATACAGGCGTTTTTTAATAATTTGGTTTGTCATAAAGAGATATTTTTTCAAATTTAACGAATAATATTTTGGTGGTCATCATGGTCTAAAATTACTAGACGATTAGCGAATTAGCGATTATGAATTTGTTGTCTAACTGGTAAAAATGTTACAATTGTGACAGTATTGTGACCATTTGATGGCATTGTTATTGTATTTTTGACCGACGCGTAAAAATAGAGGAGGTTATCATTTTTTTTTTAAGTTTGTTACCTCAGATCTTGGTAAAATAAAAAAAGATTTGTTTTTTTTGGGAGATCATACTTCCCGTTCCAATTCAAGTTTTAAGCAGAAAAAGTACTACCGCTAATAGTAGAAAATTAAGAAATTAAGTAAGTTTACTCTTTATTACAATTTGTCGTGATGTAGTCCATTTAAATCTAAAATACTTCTTTAAAACTTAAATATTATATTAATTTATGCGATCGTATCTAACCTGATTTGAACTACTTTTGACCTTAAAATTATAGACTACAATACTGCCGTTCCAATCCAATACACTGTAACTTTTGAAAACGACTTTGGACCTTGAAAGCTTTGTTACAGTTTTTTACCATGTTAAAACCCTAATTTCAATACAATACAGTATTTTTTAAATTATTGTCTCTTCTAAAATACACTTTAGAATAACAAAAGTGTTGATCAGGGGTACTAATCCGACATAAAGAAACTGGCAAGGCAAAACGCTGTAAGTCAAGTTGACTTGGATTGGCACGGCAAATCCAAGTCAACTTAGTAGAAGTATAAAATACAAACTTACGGTCTGATAACTAGCTAATAGCAAGCTAGGGGTAGAATTCTTATATTCCTTTGCACGATGAGATAGTTTACATATTAGTATTCGGAATCAATATAGCTTAACACAAGATATCTTTGGTATCGTTTATATAACAAAGTGAGGCAACTTTTTCGCGATACAACACAAATTATTTCCGTCTTAGTTAAATCCTGTCTCTAAAAGCGTGATAATTTTTAGCTCTCACCAATATCCTTGTTTGAAATATGTAAATCTTAATTTATTTTATTCATCAGTTATAAATTTTTAAGTTGTTTCCAGCAGATTAATAATTTCTTCTTTTATTAAGGGTTTTCTGCTTCTTCAATCCAAACGGCCAGATTTCTGACGGCGCGATTCCCTGTCATATATAGATCAGTCCTCGGAAATCCTTCAATAAAGGTTCCTCGTCGATTATCCGGTCCATATCTTTGAAGCACCGTCCATTTTAGTTGCACGAACAGTTTGGTACTTAAATTTCTTCATAAGTTATTTTGAAGTCAGACGTCTCGCATAGCTGTTTTCGTCGAGCATTGCGTCAAGTTTAGTGACCGTGCCTCTATAGCAATCTTCTTAAAAACCGGATAACGCTGTAACACCATTTTGGGTCATTTTGTACCTGTTATATATCTTAACACTGATAAGTTGTTGATATGGAATAAACCGTGTTTTGGGATTACATAAACATTGATAACGAGAATGTAACGATAATTATTTAAGTATTAACTTTCGCGTTCAATTATATACATTTATTTTATTGGATATTAACGCTGTCACGTCACCAGTATTTGGAATGTATTTATAAATAAGCCTTTGGATGATGATTATGCCTTTGGATTGGCCGTTTCCACCAGGTTTCTGACCACGCTCAAATCGTTAATATATATATAAGTGATACGTGTTTTTAAGGGATAACTGGAGTTTGAGAATTTTATTGATTTGTTCTGTTTTTGATTTTATATTATACCTACATTTCATAGAAAAAGAAGAAAGAAAGAAAGAAAATTTTTGTTTGGTACAGACACACCAATATAGGGTAATATCCACCCATAGTAGGACTCACAAAACTAAAATCATGCACTCCATTTGAATATACAGTGAAACAGGATATCTGTTTAGGGTATCTACAATTTCTGGGTAACTTATTCGTCTCACCGCTGTACCAAATGGGCGTTCAGTCGAGCATTTGCCAAGCGAAGGCCCGGCGCTGTAGAATATGTAAAATAATAACAGTTAGAAACAAGTTTTGCTATACAGCGTGCAAAAAAGTAACACTAACGGCAATGCCCGTAAGAATATAAACTCAAATTCAAATATCTATATATATGTATATAGTTGTTTGTTTAGATAACATCTATTTTTGTATCTTCGTTGATAAGCTACGATTTTTGTTAGAATAATATTTGTTTACGTGACTAGTCTGTACAAACCAGATAACAACAATCACTAAGGCAATTTTGAAAAAATCTCAGACGAAGTGATTGATTTTATTAATGATTTGTATTTAATTATTATTATTTATATTTTTAATTGTTAGAGGAGTTACTTTCAGACAGCACTCAAGCATCGTGCTCTCACAAAATGTTTAAGTTAAATTGTAATAAAGAACATATTGTAAACGTTATCTTATAGAACAGTACTGTCTGTTTCTCAGAATATTGGTGTCACGCTGGAAAAGCTTTCGATAGCCTTAGGCATCGTGGTTTATGCTGCCAAAAAGAAAACATTGCCAAACTTTTTTGAACAATACTCACAAAAACTCCTATAGTCGAAAAAATAAGATAGGTTTTTTTGCCACCACCCAGTGGTAGACTGCACGGATGGCGTAGTGGTTTAAGCGGTCGCCACGCCGCTTCCTACCACGCCGAGTGTTGTGGGTTCAAACCCCACATGGGACGACACTTTGTGTGATCCACAAATTGTTGTTCTGAGTCTGGGTGTTCTTTGTGTCCGTTTCATGTATGTTTGTAAAGTCCCCCGCGACACAGGATATATTCCTAATGCGGGAGTTGTCTTTAAAAAAAAAAAAAAAGTTTTTCTGTGAAAAGTATAAAGTGTTAGCTCTGTGTGAGTAAAAAGATGCGGCCTAAGTGCGATTCCTTGTGGGACGCCACAACTTGTCTGTTATTTTCCAACTTTTGTTGTTATGTTACCTTTAACATATAGAAAGATATAGATTTTGGAGTAAAGCACCTGATCTGCTCACTGTGGTTTTGAAATAAATCGTACAATTTGAAGCCATCGTGTCCTAAATGCATTGAAAAGATCCATTATTGTATTTTTGCATGCTTAAAATACAATTCTGTCTGTATTATTCCTTGTATTCCTGTATTATTCCTGTAGTAATGTTAACGGACGCTCTGATTACCTGTAGCACTTTTACCATATATGTATGTACTTATACCACAAGGTAACACAATGCTCAAACAGTAATGGAAGACTGACATGCATTGAGAAACGGTGTCCGAAAAAATGTAGATCTCACAAAGATTCTTTGTGTACTCTCTTAAAATACGTGAAGTCATTTGCATTTTTATTTCTTTTCTATGTATTATATAGTAATTCCAAACTATTATTGTGTTATCTACAAATTTTCTTTTCCATTTATATATATCTCGATTCTGTGTTGGTATAATTCGTAAATATCATTCAAAATGGTATCGAAATTTGGTCTTTTACATTTCGATAGTAATTTATTGCTATCTTATACTCGTATTGATAAAGTATGCTTTTTATTCGAATTAAGTGTAGACACGTAAATGTGTCAGTTGCCGATAAATTTGCCTTCGCAGATAAGTTAGTTTATCTGTAAGTGTCGGGCAAAGCGGTGAGTGTCATGTTATGATATTTAATTAATTTATGTTTCTGAAGCGACTTGATAAATATTGAAAAGGAATCAACTTATCAAAAATTAATTTTAAATAAAATTTTGCGTTAAAATTTTTGGGATTGGCTTCAATGCCCTTAGATCGATTACTTACCTAACTTAGATTATTATCGATCTCACAAGTATTTTGAATAAAAAATTAAAATTCGGCCATAAAAAAGGTACAATTAAATTCCATTTTTTTTAAGAAAAATAATAAAAGAACATTAGGAAGGCTTAATAATTTATTATTTTTAAATACGACTATGTCAATCGTATAAAAAATACTTTTACTAATATTTAATTTTATTTGAAAAATTACAACGGATAAAAAAAAACAATTGAAATGAAATATTAAGAAAAATAAATGCAGAAAGAAAAAATATTAATCGATGCCTTAATTTAAAGAGGGTGTCAAAAATAGAGTAGAGCCGGTCGCATCTTGTCTGCATTGCATTGAGCAGGCATCTTAATATAGCTGTAGGGCATTTGTGACATTGTCATCGACATACAAACATCCAACTGGTATACATTTTAGAACTAAGAATTTTTTTCAACAGTAGAAACAAAATGGCAGAACCTGATATCAGTATTAAAATACCCATCGGAGGAGATGGAGAAGGTATGGGATTCGGTGCTGCAATCTCCGAAAAACTAGCTAGCACTATCAGTAATATGGACGTAGTTAGCACTCTGCAAAAGATGATTTCCACTATACCGGAAGATGAAGAGTCAGAAGACATCCGCAACAGATTGAAAAATGCTATTGAACAATTTCAACTTATGAGTGACGAAGAAAAGGCTGAATTTACCCTCAAAGTGAAAGAAGGTCTGATGAGCAAACTTCAAGCTAAACTGGAAGAAAGTGGTGCTTTAAATCAACTCGAAGACGCGATCAGGGGGGCCGTAATGTCTAAACTGTATATGATCGCTGCTGGATTCATTTTACTAGTCATCTTATTAGGTATGTCCATTGTTTTTGTGTTGTCGACGTATTTTAAATATATTCTGCGGACTCGTGGCTATTTTATCGACGTTCTTTAAAAAAAAACCCACTTCACACCTGTTTGTGTTAAAGAATATCAAGAATATCGGACGTCAAGTCTTAATCCAGTAATTAGGCGATCGTAATCTTCGTAATTGATTACAGTAGGTTCGTTTTGTATTATTTAATTATTGATAAAGTTAATCTAATTCTTAAGTAGGTAATGATTACGTTAATGTAGTGGCAGTGACCTGAATACTGTAGGTGCTCACTTTGGACTGCAAGTCAAAGTTTCTATTCTTCAAATGAAAGAATAATAATTTGGCGACTAAACATAGTCAATATTGTTCCCATAGTCCCATCAACTACAGGTGTAATCCCAAGACAACTTCACCAATCAATAAAAATGATAGATTTACTCCCTCATACATATAAAAGTCTCCAAAAATCAGCTATTCTTAACACCTGTAGAATAGTAAGAATTTTTTTACAGTGAGACAGTCGAGCAAATACAACAGACACAATCATCTCTTAGTAGAAATCATTTACATGTTAACGATATTACCTTCATAGAGTAACACTTGACTTCGGCCCGTGACAGACACTAGCATGTCACACACGAATAGAATAATAAATATAATCTATTCTTTAAAGGGTATAAAAGACCATCTCTTCACCTACATAAAATACTTGCTAATTTGTTTCTCGTCTACAGTATGAGTTAAACCAGATATCTTTTCTTTTCTTTATTTATCTAATCACGTCTAATAGTTGCCGCAAAAAATTGATTGACAAAATTACTTTAGGGACGGGATAAAAACATGACAACAGTTACGAGCATATGAATCAAATCAATATCAAGGCTGCTATTAACTTTACAAATCAATGCAGACAAGACAAGTACCTAGGTCTAGAGTTGACAAGTTTGAGCCGATAGCCAAAGTAAACTTATGTTGGTCAATGACCCTATATTTACACAGAACCAACAGTTAGTCTTTTTAGGCAGGTTTATTAAACGTGCTGACTTTAGAACCTATATTTTTCATTAATAAAAATAGAGGCCATATTTATTGTCTGTTTTTCTTGGATACTTTTAATTTGCGGCGGCACTTAGTGTATACTGTCGTGACTGCAGTCAGATGAGGGTTGCAAACTATTTATCTACTACAAGCTTTTGCCTGCGGTTTCGCCCGCTTGTGTGTCGGTTATCGTCGTTAGAAAGTAGCTTATGTTATTCGCTGCTAATGTGTAGCTTTCCATTGGTGAAAGACTGATTAAAATCGGTTTAGTAGTTTAGGTGTAGGTATCGATTATGATTAACTTTTGAAAATAAGTAACAAAACATCGCAATTCGGTCACTGCATCGTCATTAAGTGAAATTCTAACGGTGCAATCTAAATTGTCTGTTTTATAACTGCGAAATAACTGTTCCACATAAGGTGGAGCAAAATGTTGTGTCGGTTCTTCACGTGAGGACAAAACTATCTTTTTAGTCACATTTGTATTTGAACGTCATCATCAAACTATTTATTTTGTGTCGGCTGAGTGTCAATAAATATCACGGATCATTTTGGACAAGCAATAGTTAATTTACGCAGTAATGCTGAAAAAAAACAGTGCAACTGGATAGAAATCTTCTTTTTGACGGGTCAAAGCGCTTGGTCTTTCTTCATGGAATAGTACCAAAGAATTAAAGCCGAAAAAAGAAATTAATCATTGCTCGTATTTACATACTATTTAAATTAACGCTTATCCCAAATTATACATAAACGTTTAATATAATATTCGGAATTTTGGATAGGCAAATATTTATTCAATTGTGCTTTACTGCACGAGCAAATTTCTACTCTATCACTGTGGAGCGAGAGTCGAAATTTAATTCAGTATTAAAGACTGATCTTTTGTGTTAGTACAAGCGATAAGCGGTTTCTAACTCCCGTAATAAATATGTATGTACCTACTTTGTTATGGGAGACAGAAACCGCTTATCGCTTTAGCACTTGGGTGAGGCATATACTTCTCCATTCAATATCGCAATTCTAAAGTCTAATCATTTCTTTCAAATTGTTTGAAATACATTGATTCTTATGTTTGTAAATTACTTTAACTTTTCAACTGTAACTAATATGTTGATACGTAAAATTCAAGGATTTTTGATTATGAAAGCATTCACAAGTCTTGCCAATCTCAGGAACTACAGTTTAGAATTGATAAAATATTTTAGTGTTCGATAGTCCATTTATCGAGGAAGGCTAGATAAAATCACGCTAAGACCAAAAGAAGCCGAGCTTTGGTGTAAAATGTTTGAAAAACGGGGGAAATTTATTCCTTTTGGAGACGCAGACGATTTGCACGGGTCAGCTGGTTCAACTATAAACGTTAATTTGCAGTCAATTCTGCAATACACAATTCTGCAATACACTAGCTTATGTGTAATAATTAACTTTTAAAAAAGTATCATCGACTCACATCATATTGTATTGTATTAAACTGTATTCTTTATTTTCCGCCTTCAGGGTTACTATTTTTGCTTCACGTTTGAATAGTCGGCCTGACTGACTTCAAACTGGAATCCCAAATTTAAGAAGTATTTTCTTAATCAGTTTCTAAATTAAGGTATTCTGAGGTAATAAACAAAAACACGTCCGTGTGGTGACGGATTAAGAATACAGAGTGTCACCACCCCTATTCATCCCGTGGGTGTCGTAAGAGTCGACTAAGGGAGAGAACTACGCAGAACGACAGCACTGCAGAGAGAAGGAAAACTTGACACAAACCCTATACCAACCCGTATGGCCAGCGTGGTATAGTAGGCCAAAATCTCCTTTCTAATAAGAGGCTTTTGTCCAGCAGTGGACTATTAAAGGCTGTTGAAGTAAAGAAACAAAAAAGAAAAAAAAACAACCGAGTTGTAGAATAGTTGAAGAGTTTTTTAAAGTCAGTTGAAAGCCCAGCGTGGTACCAGGCCAGCGTGGTATAGTAGGCCAAAACCTCCTTTACAAAGAGGATATCATGCAATCAGATGTCATTGCTCAGTTTCAGTGATCTATTTTTAGGAGCCTGGCATTAGTTCCGACTTACATGACAGACAGTTGACAGTATTGACAGATGTCTAGCTAATAGTTTTCGCATATCCAGTATCTGAATTACCATCTATCTGTTTTATATCCACTCTAGTCTGGATATTTCATAACTATAAGACTCATATTCGTCATGAGTAATGTATTTATTAACAAAAATATCTTCATCCAGCAACTCCTTGAGTGCACATGCGCTCTTTTTATCTGTCATAAGAATTTTATTGCTACCCATTATTAACATAAGCAATCCTTGCTCTATTCCAGTTTTCTTCGGCTACAAACTATACAAATCGATAAAGGACAAAGAAAAGAAGAAGGAAGAAAAGAAAAAGGCCAAACAATCGAAGAAGAAGAAGTGAAACAACAACAAAACGCAACAGCAAGCAAAAGTGCGTCGTGTTTAGAAAATTATGTATTTTTATTGTAGGCAACTGTATTTAAAAAAAATATGTTATTTTTTATAACTTATTAGTGTAACTAGTGTCGTCAATACGAATGAGGTAAATTATGGTGGATGGTTATGAAACATGCAATTTCTTAGTTCCGACAGGCTGTAAAAATCCCTGATTATGTGGCTTCACACAAAAATAAATGCGTTTAGTTTACTTTTCAATTTTGTTTTTATTATTTATGACAGCAAAAATGTTAATCTTAAAAAGTACGTAATTTTCTGACACTACTTTTAATGACTGATTATGAAGTATAAGGTTAAAACGTTTATATATACGTTGTTGTATTTCTGACAATTTGAAGATGTTTACGATTATATTTCTTCCAAATATTTAATGATTAGCTGTTCATGGTATATTTACGCACCAATGTGTATTTTACACCGTACAGTTATTTGCTCAAATGTAGAAAAATCATAACATTGCCATCAAAGGTCTTTATTTATCACTAAATTGCATTGAAAATAATATTGTACATTCCGAATTGTTGAATTTAATGTAATACATATTTTTTATTTATTTTTATTATAGATTTGCGCAAAAGCGTTATGTGAGCTTTTTTAATGTTTTATTAATAAAACAATTTATTTTTACATTACATGGATGATATGGTGGAAATGTGTTGTTATTTATTAATATTTTTCAATTACACAAAGTTTACCAATTAATACAGTTAAGACAAGACATCGATGTAAAGTACACAAATAGAAATTCGTCTCATGCGAAGAAGAAAATTCTTATCTAAAATAGGTGCCTTCGGGAGCCGTGCAGCAGGATCCTCTGACGGAAGGGCATGTGGTTTTTAATCTGTTCGATTCCGAAATATCACATCATCATCAACTTTACGTAGGTTTTTTTTCTGTTTAGGCTCCCATAACAGAATTTCGAATAGATTTTATTTCTTGAATAAGTGGTGTTTTTGCAAAGACAAGACCTCAACATCCCCTTGATACTTGGGGCCCAGGTTTTTGGAAAAAGCTGTTTCTTAATCCTTGCGAGCGTGCAAACGCAAGAGCGCGCCCCTTTATCCTTCGTGCGAGTGCATGCCAAGACAAGAGCTTAGCGTCCCATTAATCTTTCACTAGGCAAAGTTACTAATTTATCACCCACGTCTTGCGATGTAAAAGGTAGGAATAGTGAATAGGAATAGAATGGGAATAGTACTCTAACTGTTAAGTGACAATTAGGAAAGTCGTATTAGGTAGGAATGAGTTAAGGCGGAATATTGATCAACCAGACTTGACAAAATTACCCCCCCCTCCTCCATAGCAGAAATAATACAAAAAGACTATTATAAATATAAATTTATTATTGAAAATACACAATTATGTATATCTTTTGGCCTTAAAGTAACATTAGTGTACGGAATACTAAAAACAATGTTCACTAATGACACATAGCGATACAACAGTTCTAAGGACACTATCATACACAACTAAACATAAAACATTTTATTTATCATAATCGGGAGTAAAAATAGTTAATTTTATAATAGATATGTTCATGGAATGTTGGCCCTACTGCTGCAATGTCATCCGTATTACTACGAGTTTTTATTTGGAGCTGGCAACATTGGGTCGTTACGTCATCGTACAAAATAATAATAGCGTTCTTTCCATAAACTTATCAACGAGATAATAATAAAATATTAAAAGTACCAGTACTTACAAGTATTTTTGACAAATAATGGATTTGACATATAACAAGTGTTTTTAATAATTAAATAATAGGTTTACTGTTAGTACGCATATTACAGCGAGATGCATGATGGTTGCAACAATGATAATGGAAAGTAAAGCCGTAACCTCATGCATTCAAATGATCAAAGCTGCCAGTTCCAATGTTATAATGACGAAATGATCTCAGTTCATTTAGACCCTGTTAGACGATTCTAAACATTTTCGATTCAGTCGAATTTTGGACATTTTACAATTTGAAGATCCTCAACTTGAAAAGAATTATCACAGAATATTATGAGGCCGTCTTCAAATTTCATACCGATTTATAAACAATTTTGGTCCTTACACACCTAAAAATAAATGTCAATTTCTGCCAAAATACATTTTAGTCCTACAAAAATCTACTGGAGAAACGTTATATTTATTTAAAAAATTGTATAAATTTTAATATACTTAGGCACTTTTGGAATGACATTGAGCGTGTACAATTCGCGCGTAATCTATGATATTATATCACCAAAAATATTTCTGATTCTTTATTATCATAATATTAATGTTTTGTCATATTACTGGTTATGTTCCGAGATTCAAGTTTATATAAAGAGACATTGTAGAGATTTATTTCTAATCTACTATCACGAATGCATCAAATACATTTGTAACCAATAACATGGCAACACATACGTTTAAAAAACCGTTACTTCAGTTCACACAACGCTTATTCTAAAAAATTTAATCCACAAATACATTATTTTAATTTTTCAAATATAATAGTTGTATTGCATTTGTCTCTACTCTAATATGTGTGGACTCAAATAAGGGTTTTCGATTACCTACATTTTTAACTATTTTATATTTTACTTCATGAAAAACGTTGTGGTTTTTAATTTTTCTTCAAGGGATCAAGGTTGTCTATTGAAAAATCATCGTTTCCAAATGTGATCCCTCGGCTGAAGCCGTCCTGAGGAATAAACATTTTGTGATCAGTTTAAAATTCATGTGTATATTACACGGACTGAGGATGTTAGATACTTGTAGTTCAATAAGTAAGTGACAGAAAAATCCACGTATAAATGTTTTATAGCAATAGTGCATCTTACAGGTAATTTTCTCAATAATCTTCAATTATCACGCTAGCCGTTTTAGTTACAACAATGATATGAGTATGAAATGCGATGATGGAAATTCACTGATCGCGAGATTTAGCACAAAACATGTAATGCAGAGCAAGCGACACGAATGTAGTTAGTTAAATCCCGATTATAAAAATGGAATATCTTGACAACTTATTGAATCTATTTACATATTACATCATTTATTTAAGATTACTGATATCAATATTTTCTTGTTACTAATTAACTCTTTATATTGATATTTCTAATCTCTAATTCTTTACATTAACATTATAAAATAATAAACCTCACACGTCTCACACCGCAGAGTCTTTACTCTGTAGTACAGACTGCTGATAAACATACTTATATATTCTTCTAAATACATACTTATTATAGATAAAGTAAACCCAGAAACAGAACGAATGATCGTACTCATTACACAATATTTGTCCTGAGTAGGCATCGAACCCACGACCTCTGGTTTATCAGCCAGAATCACTAACCACTAGATCAACAGGCCCGACATCATCATTTATTTGTAATTCATGACTTTCACCCACGCTATGGAAAAAAACAACTGTCACTAGCATATTTTGTTACTGTGATAGCCTAATCCTGCGATATAAGACTGCTTCCATTATAAGCCACACATTATATCCACTTTCAAGACTTACCCGTCAAGCTGTTAAAAATTAATAATTGAGTTTTATATTTTGTTCTGAGTAAGTTTGTTGTACATTTTTTAAATAGATTACATAAAAATGACATCTGAATATAAAATTATAGGTACATCATCAACAGCCTTTACTAGTCCACTCTAGGAAGGAGGTTTTGGCCTATTATACTACGCTGGCCACTGATTAATATTTACTCATAGTAGAATTTCATTAGCAAGTTTCTTATCACAAAATTTACTATCGTGCATTTTCGTTTTACGTGACAATTTGAATCAATTGCGTGATCAATTTCAGCTACTTCTAAAGAACCAACACATATATTTGATGTACATACATCCAAACAAAAACATTGTATATTTAAAAAAATCTTTCTTGTATTGAACATTTCAATAAAATATAGTACAGTTAGTAGTTTAGCTACTTGCAACACTGAAAAGTGTGAGGTACTTTTCTACTAAAAATAATATGACTTAAGTTTCTACCAGTTTAGAAACACAGTTAATAGTGTTTTTAAGTTTGTCTTCATACTCATAGCACTGGATTATATAGAGATTATTATTGGATTATTTATTCAAGTACGACAAGAAGTTTAGAAATTTTATTTTCTCACCTTCATTTCCGAAATAGTTTTATCTAAAAACCCGTTGAAACTGCTGTTGAGTTCCACAGATTGCTTCTCGCTGAGGTTCCCGAATCCGTTGAAGGTATTATTGAATCCATTCCCGAAGATATTTCCACTCTTCTGCGTATCGAACGGGTCGTAGCCGCTGAGACCGTTAGTGAACGACGTGTTCGTGTTGAAGACTGAAGTGTGGAGATTGAAATCGGAGATATCGTAATTCGGTTTGTTGGGGGTGGACGTCGGGAAGGGTTGTGTCGTGGGGGCGGGCGGCGGGGGTTGCTGTTGGACGGCGAAGGGCGTGGAGCCGAACAGGTCACTGCCGTTGAGGGTCGGTTGCGGAGGGGGGACGGCTGTCGGTTGTCGCTTCGACGTCTTGGGAGGGGGTGCCACTGCAAAGTAAAGGGGTTTGTAAATATATATTTTTGTAAAGGTATTAGGTATGGTGTTTTGTGAGGAGTAAATTATTTTAAATAATGAACCCAAGCAGAAGACAATCTGTACGTATAAATAGTAAGGTACCAAAGAGTCAAGACGTGAGTATAGTCCGTTCACGTGAAGAAAATAGTTAAGTATCCATCAAGCCCTGGACCAATCAGGTTCCAAGCTTTCGTACGAAACGATAGTTTCTTGGAACCTGATTGGTGAGTGTAAGTAAGTAGCGAGCAAGTACTCACGGAGCGGCGGCGTGGCGGCGTGGTGCGGCGCCGGCGCGGGCGGCTCCTCACACGCGCGGGGGTCGAAGTCTAGAACACCACACGAGTTATGAGTAACAGTTAGAATCGTGGCTCACAGTTACACAAATTACAGAAGTCATACCATACAAAATAAATTCTCTTTTGTGTGTTTTAAAAGACAACTCCCTCACTAGGAACGTGTCCTGTGTCGCGGTAGACTTTACATACACATATAAAACGGACACAAAGAACACACAGACTCAGAACAACAAATTGGGGATCACACAAAGTGTTGCCCCATGTGGGGAACCATATCACAACACTCAACTACGCCACCCGTACCAGTCTATGACTAGACCAAAAACATAATAACTCGATGTGTTTCGTCTGTCACTGCTGTTGATCCTTGTGTACAGGAGTTACAGTGGTGGGCGTGTGGAAGAATACTCTCCCTTCTAGAATTAGGATGGAGGGTTTTGGGACTCAAAGAACCTCTCTCACTGTGAAAATGTGAAAGATGTGCTTAAAACCGGGTTACTGTTAGACCACGGTATCGCTCTGGTCGAGAGGACCAATATATACAAAAGCATGACTAGCCCACGATTAAAATATCTATACTAATATTACAAAGAGGTAAAGTTTGTGAGTTTGTATGTTCGGTTTAATCTCCGATACTACTGATACGATTTTGAAAAAACAAATACTGTTACAAAGGTATATTATCCCTGAGTGCTATAGACTACTTTTTTTAAGTATGATAAAATGTACCTTATTAAGATGTTATAAAGCACAGAGGCCTTGTATAAAGTCCACCATTACCAATAGTTGATATATTGACATGAACTCACCACTGTCCGAATCAGAGTTGAGGATCAATCCTTCGAGCTTGGTTCCTACAGAGGGGTTCTTGCTTGTCAACAAATCGCCAATCAGTTTACTGGAACAACACAACATTTTATTTACATAACATAACATAACAATAGCACATATTTAACCCCTATTTTTAGCCTTAGAAATATATATTTTTCTATTAAATTAAGTAATAAATAAGAATTATCCAGGTTCTCTAATAACTTATAAGATTTTGAGGTTAAAAATTATTTAATTGAATTGTGTAAATTTCTTTTTTTTTAATTAGTTAAAAGTACAATATCATAGTAACGATCACGTTTTTAGTTACAAGGTGAGTGTTGTTTATACTTTATCAGTCCACGGCTGGACATAAGCATCTCCTTAGAAAAGAGGTTTTGGCCTATTACGAGTATACCACGCTGGCCAGACGGGTTGGTATAGAGTTTGTTTCAATTTTCCTTCTCTTTGTAGTACTATTGTTTTGCGTAGTTTGCTCCCTTCGTCGGCTCTTACGACACCCACGGAATGAATAGGGGTGGTGGCACTCCGTATTTTTAATCCGTCACCACACGGATAGTTATTTATACTTACCCGGTGCCGAAGTTGTGTTTCCCGTTGTGTTGGGGCGGAGGTGTTGCCAGCAATAAATTGTTGTCGTTGCTGGAGTTGAACGTGTCCGTGGAATTGTTGGATAGTGCGTCTACACCTGAAATTTTTATAAAATTATGTTTTTTTTAAAATTCAGCAGACGAATCTCTAATGGTGAGTGACAACTGGCGACTATAAACACCTACACATATAAATGTGGTACCGGCCTTTGAGTGGGGTGATTTGGGATCACGGTCTTGGAGTTCGTATTAGTTGTGCGGAAGCAAAAAATTATTAGGTTATTTAGAGATCTTAAAAAAGTATATAAGTATTCTATTAGTTAATCTAGCTTTCATGGTACAAGCTCTGCTTAGTTTGACACTAGATGGCGTTTTGTGTCAGATGTCCGAAATGTTATTCATCAACAGCCTTTAACAGTCCACTACTGGACATAGGCCTCTCCTTAGAAAGGAGGTTAAAAATGAAATGAAATGTTATTATATTGATATAAAGAAAGGAAAGGGCAGATATATCGTTTGCAACTATCAGTGCTATAAAGTATCCACATCTTTCGACTCAGAAATAAGTTTCATGTTATTAGCATACTTCTGTACGCTAATAAATGACATCGTAGGTTATTGAGTAGATATTGTATCATAACCGCCACTTGCTTCTATACTTTCTTATGTGACTTTCTGAACTGCCCTTTCTTCGAAAAATCTCAAATTTGGTCTGAATATATATTTATACTAAACGTACCTAACTCGGGCGTCTTGTTCCCGTTCATAGCGCTGAACCCATTGGCCAGAGTGAGGGTATTTAATTGTTTCTCGAGCTCGGGTGGCGGCTTGAATTCTGTGATGTCTGACAACTTGTTGCGCGCCAGATATGAATTTAAATCGTCTTTGTATGTGATCTTTGATAACTCCTGAAAAAAAAAGATAATGAAATGTAAATCAACTTCTAGCAATTAAGTTTCTAGCAATTTGGCTATCAAGACTGTGTGTAATTTATATAAAATGAATTCCACAAGAGAGTTCCACAAATCATATTAAGAAAATTTGTGGAATACAGTAGTATAGTTATAAATGTTATAATCATGATAGAATTTATATTTATGGATTTTATAGCTATCACGATTTAACTATACCTACTTTATAAAGTTCATCAGTAAATTAATACTGTACTTGCAGGTAAAAATAATATTTAACTTAGTTCTAGAATAGAATTTCAGCCAAAATCTACCTTAAAACTTCGAAATTCTTGAACCTGGCTTAGCTGATGTCTATCAGCTTTGTTTTATTTAGACGACAAAGTACTAAATAAATAAATTTTAGTAATCATTTACGTCTGAAATACATATATACGAGTATTTATATAATGCTATTAATTTTATAAGTATCAAAATTCCGCTTACCTGTAAACGATTTTTGTAAGTATTCATCTGTATCTCCAGTTTCTTGTTCTGTAGCTGCATCTTCTGCATCTCGATGTATTTGCCATTGTCGTTCAAGAACCGCCTGAAAAGAAATTTCGACATTTCGATACAATCAAATTTATAATCATTCAAATGAAGTGAAATAAATGCCGTTATCCGTGTGGTCACACCATCAAGAAAACTGAGTGTGACCACCCATATTCATCCCATAGAACCGACTAAGGGAGCAAACTACGCAGGACAATACCACTGCAAAGAGAAGGAAAACTTAAAACAAACCCTAAACCAACTAGAGAGGCCTTTGTCCAGCAGTGGACTGTTAAAGGCTGATGATGATGATGATTAGCTTAATAGTCATAATTGTGTTGCCGCCTTTTGAGCCTCCGAGGTAAGGTTTGGGCTCCAGAAAATTCACTCACTCGCTGAAAAGCATCGAAGGATTTGCTTAACACTGTATTTCTGTGAAGCCCGTATCACGCATGGCTCTCTCATTGCAAGAGCACAGCAGTGCTGCTGGATACATGGTTAAAAACTGTTAAAGTGTTTTACTGATGTCGTATCATTTTTAATTTCAATCTTTGTTGTAAATCAGCTATTTTATAGGTTAAAAATAAGTCTCATTAAAACTAAGTATTATCTTCCTGTACTACTAAGTAGTATTAGCTCCTGTTTTAAATCTAAGTATTCTTGACCGAGGGCATTTTACTTTAGAAGGTTAACAGTACATTAACATGAAGGTTGCAAAACAATGAATTTATCATTCTTTGTCTCACAAAGAGACGAACAAAAGACTAAATTTAGGTGCAGTTGGCGTTTTTAAAAGAGGACGGGAGGCATGACAAGACTGCATAGTGTGTACGTATTAATATTACAGGTAAAAAAAATAAAAACAGATTACTGGGCAATAAACATTTGTTTTAACTTGTTGACATGTACTAATGCATTGTGCATGAGTTTAATAATAATTCATAACATCATCTATCTCATATTGGCAGAGCGTGTACGAAACAGACTCATTATTCTCCGAGCCTTTTACTAGGTTCGGGTCAGCTTTCAGCCACTTTTTACTTAGTGCGACTGCTATCAGATCCTCCAAGTAACTATTTGTTTCGAAGTTTGGCTGTTTTCTATGTGTAATATGTTTGTATTTACAAAAAAAAAGTATATTAGTATGTATGTATAGTATTGACTGATATCAATCTAGCTTTCATAGTACAAGCTCTGCTTAGTTTGAAACTAGATGGAGTTGTGTTGCTAGATGTCCGAAAATATTATATTATTATTTAATTACCTACTAGGCGATATCGAAGTTTTGTAGATAGACTGGTTTTAGGGCTCCAGGTACCCTAAATGATTTCCATAGATGTCGGTATGGCATCCGAGACCGACAACAAAGCATAGGTACTGATATATTAATAAACACAAACATATTATAGATAATTTCGAACCAGACACAGAACAAATGATTGTGCTCTTTACACAATTATTTGTTCAGGGTGGGAATCAGTAAATCAATGGCGTGACTAAAGAAAACGTCTTTTTAACACACATAAAAACATACCTATATGCCAAGTCGAATGCTTGCCCAATTGTAAGCGTGATTTCCGAAGCTAACTTCGATGAAATAAACACGAAGCACTCATGCTTATCCATGTTGCCATCGTGGCCATTGACATTGTTGACGGTGCTGCCCCCTTTAGCGATAAAAGAGAAGTATTTCTTTGCACCCTTGTCGTCCGCGCAGTACGATATCCGGTGCAGCGGGAACTGGTAGAGGATGTTATTCGTTTTTGGCTCCTGGAATCAAAGGAAAGTAAGCTTTAAATATGTGGTGATATTTAGTAAAATGTACTTTAACGCCATCTAGCGAACATAATTGAAACTACTAAGCAACTATTGATCCTGTACCGTGCAATGAAAGTTCTTGATCTGATTCGTACCAATATAAGTAGTATACCAATGAGTTACAACTTTCGAACGCCAACCTTTATGAACGTGATCTACTTGCATGATATGGTCACACACATACAATGAAATTTTACTTCAAATATAAATGCAAAAGACGAAAATATAGATTCATAGTCTCGAACAGTACAGCTTCTTTTTGACTTTGACGGAAATTAAACCGCAGGTAAATACTTATAATACATACGAGTACATGTTGGATATTTTGATTATCTGTGGTATTATTAGTGTTCTATCTTTACTATGGTAGTTGGTATTAAATAAAAGACATGGCGAACTTCAATAGTGTGTTAATTTTTGTTTAATGAGAAAACCCAATAGCACGCTTCCACTGCGCAAAATAACAAGCGCACAATATTGGAAAAATGTTGTAGTAATAATATTAAAGAAGAACGGTGCAAATGATTTGAAGATTATATTAAAATTCGTGAAAACAATTTACAACAATTTTTTCCTTCACAATAATGGAAAAATTGTACTTGCCTATTTTAAAAGAAGGCGACTCTTATGCCAATTGGAAGTTTAGGCTTATGATGTTACTTCAAGAAAAACAAGTGGAAAAAGTATTAGGGAGCGGATATGATTCAAAAGAAGATAAAGAGTTTGGTAAGAAAGATGCAACAGCAAAATGTGTCATAGTACAATGTCTGAGCGACAAATATTTAGAGATAATAAGAGGTTCTAAAACGGCTTCGGAGATGATAAAAGCCCTGAATGGTATGTTTGAAAGGAAAAGTGTCATGAGCAAAATGTATTTAAGAAGAAAACTTATTACTTTAAAATGTGCACCTGGCACAAAACTTCAAGATTTCTTTATGTGTTTTGATAATGTCGTTGCGGAGCTTGCTGGTGTGGGATCTACTGTAGAAGAGGAAGATAAGATATGCTATTTGTTAGCCGCTTTACCAATAGAATATGAAAGAGTGGTGACAGCGATAGAGATGTCGAGTGAAAAGATCAATATAGATTCAGTTAAAGCCAGATTGCTAGATGCGGAGATAAAATTGGCAAGAAAAGAGAACAGTCAGAAACACAAGAACAAGCTTTTAATTGTTATGTATGTGGCAAGCCGGGACACAAAGCTATTCAATGCAAGAGAAATTATAGATTTGGAGTACAATCACAAGGATATGGAAATCAAAGACAAGGACAACCCCAACGTGGTCAAGCTCGAGGAAGGTTATATGGACATGGTCAAAGATATAGAGGGCAAAGAGGTAGAAACAGAGAGCAGGCTGCGTGCATGGCCAGTGAAGATGATTTTATGAATAATGAGATGTTATTTACTGCGTTTCAGGTTACAAATAATGATGTCTTGTGTAACAATATTATTAGTAATAAAAATTATATTAAGTTCATTATAGATTCAGGTGCTACAGAAAATTTAATCAAGGATTGCTACAAACCATTGATGTTTGATATAGAGAAGATACCAGAAACTAGAATTTATATAGCAAATGGTGAATATCTAGTGTGTAATGAAAAAGGTAAGATTAGGGTTATTTATTCCAAGTTACAAGTAAAAGTTACAGTTCACTGCCTAATTGTTAAAAATCTTTCTTATAATATAATATCAGTAAGGCAATTATTATCTAGAGGAGCAGAGGTTAAATTTTGTGCTGATTTTGTATCAATATATTATCCAGGTAATAGGGTTGTAGAAGGTAGATTACAATCAAAATTATATACTATTGATTTTAAGTTATCTACTGAGGAATGTATGTTGAGCAAAGAGAAGGACATGACATTATGGCATAGAAGGCTAGGTCACTTAAATAGAAAAGGTTTGGGTTTATTAGGGTTACCAGCATCAAGTGAGAACTGTGATAGCTGTATGGAAGGAAAAAGTACGCGAAGAGCATTCCCTGTAGCTGAAAGGCATTCAAGAGAGATAGGTGATTTGATACATTCAGATGTATGTGGACCGATTGCAACTACAACTTCTCAGGGTGAAAAATATTTTCAGGTAATTATTGATGATTATTCCCATTTTGTAAAAGTAAAGTTATTAAAGTACAAAAATGAAGCTGAACAGAATTTGATAGATTACATTAAAGAGCTTAAGACACAGAAAGGGTATAAAACAAAAAAACTTAGATTAGACAATGGAGGGGAATTTTCTTCAAATTATTTCAAGAACTTTTGTCGTAATAAAGGAATAGTAATTCAGTATACTTCACCATATACTCCTATGCAAAATGGTTGTAGCGAGCGGATGAATAGGACGTTGCTAAATAGAGTGAGAACCAAGTTTGTTGAAACAAAATTACCAAAGCACTTATGGGGTGAAGCTATATATTGCTCAACGTATGAATTAAACAGATGCCCAAGTAGAGTATTAGAAAATAAAACCCCAGCTATGTTATGGTATGGTGCAAATGATTTAAGTAAATTAAGAGTATTTGGTGCAAGAGCATGGATGGTGCGTATACCGAAACTAAGTAAGCTTGAGGAGAGAGCAAAGTCAGTAGTTATGGTTGGTTATTCGCCTAATGGTTATAGATTATGGGACCCAGAAACCAATAAAGTATGTTGTTCTACTGATGTAAGGTTTGATGAGAGAAACATTAAGTTTAATAACACAAAAGATGAACATGAAAGAAGAGATAATGAAATTAGAATTTTTGATAGTGAAGGAAGTGTTGGAAAAGAAATAGTTGAGGATATAGTCAATGAACAGAGAGAGCCAGAGGAAGATTTAAACAAAGAAGAAGAAATGTATTTTGATCCAGATAATACTTTAGAGAATGAAGAAAATGTGCAAAAGTCAAGATTTGGAAGAGAAATAAAGAAACCAAAACATTTAGAGGATTATGAAATATATACAGCATATTGTTTGATAACTGAAGAAGTGCCAAAGACATATGAAGAAGCAAGTAAGGATAAAGAATGGAGGCAAGCTATAGATAAAGAGATAGATTCGTTAAAGAAACTAAATACATGGACAGTTACCAAAAACAAAGGATACAAGGCTATAGACACAAAATGGATATTTAATATTAAAGATAATGGTATTAAGAAAGCGAGATTAGTTGTGAAAGGATTCCAATTGCCTGAAAAATATTTTGAGACAAATTATGCGCCAGTGGCTAGGATGTCTACTGTAAGAGCATTTTTAGCACATTCTGTAGAAGAAAATTTACCTGTATACCAATTAGACGTACCTACAGCATTTTTAAATGGAATTTTAGAGTCGGAGATTTACATTAAAGTACCTGAAGGGATAAATATAAATGGAAATACAGTATTGAAGCTAAATAGGGGGTTATATGGATTAAAAGAAAGTCCTAAATGCTGGAATAAACAGTTTAATAAAATAATGATAGAAGAAGGTTTAAAAAGGTCAGGTTATGATTTTTGTTTATATGTGAATGATAACGCAAAGCTATTAGTATATGTTGATGATATTCTTTTGATGGGGAAAACAGAAGAAGTAGAAAGAATCAAACAAGTATTAAGTGAGAAATTCAATACCAGAGACTTAGGTGAAATTAAGAGCTTTCTAGGAATGGAAATCGAAAAAATAGAAAATGGAATCAAGATAAAACAAACTAAACAAGTAGACAAAATACTTGAAAAATTCAATATGACAGAGTGCAATCAGTCAAATACACCTATGGAAGCAGGATTAAATGTTAATGAAAATGAAGAGATTATTGATGTTCCTTATAAAGAGTTGATAGGATCATTATTATTTATATCGTCCAATAGTAGACCAGATATAACATATGCTGTTTCATACTTAAGTAGATTTCTGGATAAACCAACAAAAAGTACTTGGAAGGCAGGAAAGAGAATATTACGTTATTTGAAAGGTACTAAAGACAAAGGTCTGGTATACGAAAGAAGCAATGAACCTAAAGAGGTATTGACATATTCAGATGCGGACTGGGCCTCAGACAAACTAGACAGGAAAAGTACTAGTGGATGTACAGTATTCTATTGTTCAAAACTTATTTCTTGGTATTCAAAGAAACAGTTATCGGTAGCTTTATCAACCGCAGAGGCGGAATATTTAGCAGGGGCGTTAGCAGTTTGTGAAATAGTTAATTTGAAAGGTGTCATGTCTGAACTTACTTCAGTAAATATTCCTTGTAGACTTTTAATAGATAATCAAAGTACTTTAAAGCTGGTTGAGAGTTATGAGCATAGCAAAAGATCTAAACACATAGATATTAAGGCTCATTATATAAAAGATGTAATTAGTAAGAAAATTATTTCATTGTCTTATGTTCCTTCTAATAAGAATGTATCTGATATATTAACTAAAGCATTGTCAACTAACCAACATAGTTATTTAACTAGCAAAATGAATGTTATTTAAAAGTAATGTTTAGAAATAAGAATGTTATTGATAGGCAGGAAGAAAAAGTTTAATTTCAGTGTTAATTTAATTTAAGTTGTAGAAGAAATAAGTTAATTGAATTTAAGTTTGGTTACATACATTATTACATTATTTGTAAGCAATTTCAATTATGAAATTGAGCAGGGGTGTTGGATATTTTGATTATCTGTGGTATTATTAGTGTTCTATCTTTACTATGGTATATATATAGCCCCTTATACCAAAGTAAGAGATTACACAGGTTCATTTTTATGTTACATGATTTTAGTTACACTATGTCTCTTAATTCGGTGTGCCTTTTGGCATAGGCCTCCTCCAACGATTTCCATTGTTGTCTGTCCTGAGCAACCCTTCTCCACAATGGTCCCACTGTCAACCTGATCTCATCTTCCCATCTTATGTTTTGCCTTCCTCGGCTTCTGCGTCCATCCCTTGGGTACCATTCTGTAACAGCTTTGCTCCATTTCCCTTTATTTTCCCGCATCAT